AAAACAAGTAATAACAAATGTTTTGTCTTTTCTGTTTAAGCTCTTAAATTCACGACGATCCGTTGCACGCTGTATTCTGACCGACGAGGAGTTCAAATATCTTGAAGGGGCGTCTGCATGTCTGATGAGCGATGAAGAGACAGACAGTGAAAACGGCCAAACGTGGAAAGTGTCTCCACCTGAATGGAGGGCAACAAAGCTCACAGACATTTTGAATAGGTGCCAATGCCAACTTGCCAAGCTGCAACAAAAGTCGAGCAGAATGGTACATCGTAGGGTGGCCAGTGGCGTATGCAGCATGAGTCAGCCTCCAAGAGGCATAGACAAAACGTATTTGAAGTGAAGTTTTTTTTTGTGTGTGTGTTAATAAAAATCTTTTAACAAATTCTTTGTTTTCTATGTATATGATATTAATGTGCAGTTAGGTGTAAAACACCTGATTCACTAAACTACTTTATAAACTGTTCATTTAATATAAGTACAATAAAAGGTAATATGTGACCCATCACATCGAAGTGAGGATTAAAAGTGTTTTGAGTAAAATATTTGCAAAAATTGCGTTTTATCAAAATATAACAAATAAATGTTCTATCAGTGTAACATTTGATTGAATTGTCTAAAAAAAAAAAAAGCCTAATTTTTTTTTTTATTCTTATTAAAATTTTAAACAATTAGGTTTCAGACCAAATAATAGCCTAATGTATTATTGTAACCAACAAGCCAAATTAAGTCATATCTCTGAATCCCCTTATGATATCAGAATGATCCAGTATCAAAATATAGCTTTGAAAGCCACAAATCTGAAGATGTAATGGGCTCATTTTGACCAAATTTGACTTAATCCTCATTTTGATGTGATGGGTCACATACGACCTAAAAACAAACAAAAGAAGTAAGAAAATTGTAAGATCATTTAAGATGGCAATGATAATCACATGTGGAATCACATTTAGTCTAATGGTATTTATAATTGTAATCATATACTTTAAATATAAAATAGAGCCAACAACTACAGATTGGACAACTACAGATTGGAACTTCTTCAGATTAGCAAATGACTTCATGGATGAGCTCACTGTGACATCCTATATTGTTTTTTTTTGTACAGCAATTCAACAGATTTAGCTATTTTTTATTCTTAGTTTATGTGAGGTTTTCATGTCAACTTTTCATCAATAATGATAAAATATTTAATTTTACTGACTTTACAAACCTCAACAATATAAACATATGGTTGTCCATTTTCTTCTTTTCATTTATTCTGTTAGGTAAACGTCTCTTGAAAGTGTGATGCAGGCTATTTAAATGAAAAAATAAAGTCCATGAAACAATTTAATTTACAGATAAAACACACAAGTAAACCCTTTTGAGTCTTAACTGTAAATTAAATTGTCCACGTCGCCAAACTCCTTACAGGTTGGTGGCGGTAATGCACCGTTTTCCAACAGCCGTTTAACTGAAGAAGAAGAAGACACTTCCGGTATTACATTGGCGGGATAACACAAACGAGGTCCTTCTCGGATAACGCGACGTGTTTGATTCAAAGCCAAGCGGCTCTACGATTTTCAGTAAGTTGCTGCTTCACATATTTAGTTCTAATTATTTTTGACCAAGCATGTGGTTAGAGCGTAAAATATGTAGTTTTACCGGTGTGTTACTCGACCTTTTACAACATGGCGTTGTCAGCGTCACGTCAAGTTGAGGCTGTTTGAAAAGTTGTACTGAGCAGAATAAAATGGACACTCATACAGGGGGAATGGGAGACATCTATAACCAGTGGCTGCTGACCACTGTTGGGCAACTCCTCAGTGAGAGGTGTCTATTTGCTTTTCTAAAAGCTGTTTTATGATGTCATTGTCTAAGTTACATATTTGGATATTTGCTAATATAATTGTGATCTAGGCTGGAAGTAATCAATGTTGGACAAAAAATGACCACTAAATATGTTTAGAACTACAAATCAACTTAGAATACTTTCCTGGATTTTCCTGCAAAACACCGTTCAAGTTATCAAGTCAATGAACTGTTGGTGTGTGGCATTGTGACTTAACATACTGTTATATAATTTAAATAATATTATAATGCAACGCCACATAACTGAATCTTTGTCTTGTAGCACCCAAGATGCAGCTCCACATCACGCAGCACAGAGTGGGCAGGTAAGAGTACTCATTGACTGAATATTATTATAATTATATAATGAAGAGTATGAGTCTGGTGAAGACCTGCTGTATATGAAAAGTGTCTTGAGATGTTAAATGATTCAACCCGTTAATGAAACTGGCCTGAATTGATCATAAGGCTTTGTAAAAAGGGGAGATTTGTTCTGAGTTATGACAATTTTTAAAATGTGATTGTGTCAGGAGCAGAGCCAGTAGTGATGAGGGGATTGTTCCTGTCAGTATAAAGGAACAGGTGAGCTGTTGTAACTGTGTGTGAACAAGTATTAGTTCCAATATAAACACTTTCTAAACGACAGTAGTGACTCGTTATATTTTTATCATTAAAAGTAAGACAATAAATACAGAAAGCCTGCAATGAAAGTAATATGAAATAAGCCTGCATATTTTGCCATTGAAAATATATTAATTGGTTAAGTCAAAATGAGTTTTCCTTATCAAATATACTAAAGCTTTACAGATTATTGTCCTGATGCAGGCTCAATAAATTAATTCCTCTGGACAGATTCTTCTTTGTATCAAAAAGATTTCTTCAGTCTGAGGAGCTGAGACAAACTCAGTCATCGTTCCTCCTTGATAGAGAGGAACGATGGTCTGAGAGAGGAGAGAAGGAGGCCATCTTTGTGAAAAGAAACCGTCCATCATTAAACAGAGGTGGAGGCCTCCGGGTTCAACTGTCCCCCTCTTACAATGCTGTTATTGCTAGTATCTTACGTTCACATAAAATATTTGATAATGTTCTTATAGAAACAATTCTTGAATAATGTTCACACTGTGTTAATGCTGCATGTTTGTCTCAGGGTACTTCTTGTTCTGCCATTAACTCTAAAATACTTATTGAATAGTTTACATATGTAGGTAAAACTAGATGTTAAATACACCAGAATGCAGGAAATGGCATCTATTTTATTCAAAATTTTCTGGGGGAGGACCCCCAATGGCTACCAAGCTAAGAGCCATTGTTAGCACTGAGGTTAAGCTAAAACTAAACTAGCTAAAAATAAAAATAAATCCTAGAGGAAACAGAATTAGAATTAGAATGCAAAATATATCTGATTTGCTTTAGTCTCACATTACATCATTGTAGATGTGTGAAACTATAGTTTCTGGCAATGCAGAAGAAGTAAAACTTTTAATTAAATTCTGGGTCCTCGTGTAAAGATGTGTTAAAGCGCCATCTATTGGTAGATATGAGTTACTAAAAATATTCAATATGGGAAGATTAAAAAAAAGGTTTTTGGAACATCCGTAAACTTTTTGTTTGAGAATCTAAGAATTGAGATATGGATGCATTTGCTTTTTGTTATGATTACATTTTAAAAAGTGCTCTTATTGACCTTGTGTTTTCTGTGTTTTCTGTTGAAGCTTTTGAATTCACGGCGGTCTGTTGGTCGCTCCATTTTAAATGATGAAGAATGAGGGGGTGCCAACATGCCTATGAGTACGAGACCGACACGAAGACAAAGACACATGGAAAGTTTATCCACCTGAATGGGAGAGCAGCAAAACTAGGACATTTTAGACAGATGCCAGTACAAACTTGCTGAGCTTCAAACAAAGCCCTGCAGAATGGATGGCTACATTGCAGAGTGCCCAGTGGGAAATGCAGCCTGAGGCAGCCTCCAAGAGGCACCAACAACTATTTTTTTTTACAAATGAAACCGTAGGTTGTATTTTTTACAAATGAAACCGTAGGGGTTTTTTTTGTGTGTGTGTGTGTGTGTGTTTTAATAAAAAAAGAAAATCTTTAAGAAAGTCATGGTCAGTGTTTTCATGTCTATGATATGTTTGCATTAGTATGTGTTATGAAGATACAAACCACTGTGTATTTACTAGACTGCTTCATAAACTGTTTATTATACTGATTTTTCATAGTTCTTATTGAAATGGTAATGTGCTTACTGGTCCAGCTTGTGATTTGTACATCATGATGATGGTACATAAACCAAAATTAAAGACTCATTAATTTTGATGTAAAAAACTGGGTGATCTTAAAATGTTAAAGATCTTAGAAGCCAACTATTTGTAGCCTATAGCAGATTTAAATAGTTATATAAAGCACTTCACGTATTACAAATAAAAACTAAATGGAGTGCAAGACAAAAAAACAACAACTAACCATTGGAAACATGTTAAGATATAGTTATTTTACTTGAAGGCTTACCTACATGCCAAACCTGTATTTACAGGCAGAGTATATCAGATTCCCAAATTTGCATAAATGAAAAATCTGTAAATATCCGACTGACATCTGCCACGTAATACGCCAAAGATGCGGCAAGTATGCAAAAGGATCTGAAGCTGGAACTCCGAGGGATCGCATACTTCAGGATCCTTCGCAGATAAACATCTGTAAATATCCGACAGACATCTGTCACGTATATGCATGAATCTAAAGCAACCATACGTCAAAAATGCAGCAAGTATGCAACGAGATCTGAAGCTGGAACTCCGAGGGATCACATACACACATTTTTCAGGATCCTTCGCAGATAAACATCTGTAAATATCCGACAGACATCTGTCACGTATAGGCATGAATCTGAAACCAACCATACGTCAAAAATGCGGCAAGAATGCAAAGAGATCTAAAGCTGGAACTCCGAGGGATCGCATACTTCAGGATCCTTCGCAGATAAAAATCTGTAAATATCCGACAGACATCTGTCACGTATATGCATGAATCTGAAACCAACCATACGTCAAAGATGCGGCAAGAATGCAAAGAGATCTAAAGCTGGAATCCCGAGGGATAACAGAGTCACATATTTTCGGGATCTGCCGCAGATAAGTATCCGGATTTTGGGATTTTTTTAGGATCCATTTGTGTCCGTATACGGGGATATCCGAAAACTGAATCTGCCGGGGATGCGATACGGAATTTCCCGGAAATTGTACGTATATGTGAAGAATACGGAGATATCACCACATCGGATCGCACCGTATATCCATGGTTTTAGTGCAGTGCAACTTGTCATTGAAAGAGAAAAGTAGAGTCAAGAGTTAACGTCCTCACCCATTGTCTTCAGGCAGGTGTCCATCTTTGAGCACGGCGATCGTGTCCATGGACCAGTCGTTCTTCAGGGACACACAGCTGGATGGAGACGAGGCTCGTTTCTGCTGATGGATGCTGGTTCAAACAAAAGAATCTTAAGTTTAAAGGCCTTGTTGGTTTTAAAGAGTGGCATGGTTCGACTAAAACTGATGCTGCGTTTGAGTTGTTCTGAACTCACGGTGCATCTTCAAACAATAAAAACAGAAATAATCTTCAGACAAGCTGAGTTATTTAAAATGTGACGTTTGCTCAGGAGGTACTGAAGAATAACTCATGGGGATGAACAATAAGCACTTTATTTTCTGTTAAACAGGAGGAAGAAAAATAAAACGGCCTCTAAGAAAGAAATGCGACCGGGCGGGTCTGGTTCATTTGGGACCTCCCATGTTCACGTTCAGCAGGTCGTCTCCAGCACATGATCTATTTTTACTCTCGTCGCAGGTAAGATAAGATGCAGGAACGGAGCTTGTGTGGCACCAACATTTAGAGTTAAGGCGAGTCACGACCGTGCACCTCCATGCCGGACTAAATGAAAGTCCCTTAAAGGCCACGGTCAGGTTTGTCTTGCACCGCTCGTGCAGCTGCACCTGTGAGGACGACTGACAGATGCAGCCGGTCACACACGTAGACGTACCATCGTGCAGCGATAATGTAACTGCATTCTGTGATCACAGTACAAATATTTACATACATTGTAAGAGACGGCTTGTCTTTTACTATTAATGCACGTCTGTGGTGTTTCCTGCAAGACGGTCACTACAGGCACTGGTAACAGTATTACTGACAGAGTCTTTACCAGTATTACATGTAACATGTACTGCCATACATGACGTTTGTACAGTACTTTCTGTAAGACTGTGGTTATTGTAGTAACTAGTATTACTTTGTACTATTACTATCCGTCCATCATCTTTACCCGCTTCTCCCTTTTCAGGTCGCAGGGACCACTGGTGTCCATGTCCACTGTGCAAGAGGTGAGGGACACCCTGGACAGGTCTCCAGTCCATCATATGGACACCTGGACAGGTCTCC